AAAAACAAACTTAACAAAAATAACGTTCAATATGCAATCGACAATATGAGGAACAGACGGGCGTCAGAAAAACAGTCAAACAAAGGTCTAGCAAATAAAACTTGTACTAAACATAATTGGACTGATAAAGATGCCCGAATTTTCCTTCCCCGAGTCGAAAACACCAACTGCTTTTATCGGCAGAACCTATTTTTTCCATTCGTCGACAGCTGGGATAGGATGCTCCGTAACTTGCATATTAATATACTCTTATAGCGACTCCTGCGACGGACTTGTTTCTTTTTCGTCACAGAATTATAGTTTTATATCGAACGGTCTTTCCGCCATCTTGCGAGAGACAACGTAAACGCCGAAATAGCTTGAAGAGTAAGCGTTCTCAAAGCAAATTTGTGGCTTTCACAACACAAAGAAAGAAAATCACTTGTAACTCACGAACGCCGTAGCCAAAAAACTGTTATTTTATTTTTTTTAATTTTTTTGTGACAGAGAATACACGTTGACGAGGTAAGTCGCTATAAGAGTTTTGCTGACTACTTTTTGGCAATCCCTCCCCGGCAGATAGCACACAAAACACGAACTTTTTTCCGTGGTATTTGATTATCTCGTTCACTACACTCCCCACCCCCGTCACATAAGTGACACTCATGGGCGGGCCTCTTTATTCTTAAGCTTCTCCGGAGCGGGGCGACTGTTGGAGGAGATTGTGTGTTATATTCTGAGGTTTCTTCTGATCTGACAACCTCATGCGCAGAGTCTTCATCATCTGAAGAATGTTCTGAAGATTCTTCTTCTGAGGATTCTTCTGGTCTGACAACCTCACGCACAGAGTCTTCACCATCTGAAGAGGTGCTAGCCCTACCTCCGATGGTAATTATTTGTTCACTTTCTGAGCACTCACTGCTAGTGTCACTTGTTGACGTATCTGTACCTACATAGCGACGCAAGTCCTTTATGTGTCTTGGTATGCCATCAACCAGCACAGAACGCGAGTTACTTAGTCCAGTGACATGCCCCACCCGGTACCGGGTTGTAAACCGGCTATGTGGAGATTTCACCCACACGCGATCGCCCAAGTCATACGGCGCTCGTTCGTTTATCCGTTCAGTTGAACGCGTTGCGTCAATGCCTCGTAGCCGGACTTTGTACTGATAAATCATGTTGGCTGGCGCAGTTGAGGGCGATACATTATTGTCTCTCGGAGTAACATTGTACCAATACACCGCCTCCATTATGGAACACTGCTTCCCTAGCAGCGATTCTTTTGATGTCCGATGACATCACTCGATTATGACATTCCCTGATGGGACATACGCGCAGCGAAATCTGAGGTGTACTCCCCACGAAGCCACAAAATCTTTTTTGAATAGTCCACTGCGGAATGCAGTGTCGTTGTCAGTGAGGAGTTCCGTCGGAGGTCCACGTTCAAAGAACAATGACCCCAAGTGGCCAATGACGCTTGCAGGAATCCTGTCGACGCAGACGCCGCCAAATAGTGAACCGGGTTGGGCCACAGTCAATCAGGGTTAAATAGTGATGTCCGTTATAATGGGTGATGTCCATTCCAACACGGTGCCACACCTTGCTTACACTCACTTGTCCTTTTTGCCATTGCACAGGTGCTGGGTCGATGGACTGACACTCCTTGCATCCTCTGACCACTGCCCTGACAGCAGCTTTGGATACGGAGGGATAAATCTGCCTCACGAAATATAAGGTCCGTTTTACACCGGGATGTCCGCTTTGGCAATGCACAGATTTTAGTAAATCTGAGTTATAGTTGCTCGCTGATGTTACACAGACATGTCCTACCGTCTCTACCTCTTTCTTAATAGCGTCAAGCCATTTTTGGGGTACCCTTGTTAAAGTATCGGCCTTGTTCTGCTGTGATCTGACCAGCTGTATGTCTACGGATAAGTGGTATTCACTTACCAACTTTCCCAGTGTGTCTAGCCTCCTTCGAATGAGCATCTCGCTCGCAGCCTTTGTACGTATCCTAGCCTTCCCCGTAAGAGTGTCTGCTATCCACTTATACACGCATGCGGAATCCGTGAATAAATGCAATACCTTTGCATTCCATTGAAGGGCCGCGGTGACTCCCCTGATAACGGCGTCTAATTCTGACAGGTTGATATGTTGCGTATCCTTCTCGGGACGCAACCAATACGCATCTTCCACGACAGTGTCACCTACTTCAAGAGACACTCCTGTTGCAAGGGAGCTCGCGTCGACCCAGACGTTAAATTCACATCCGTCAACGCACCATTTACCACGTACGGGGTCGTCTTGACTCATCCTAGTAATGACTTCCGCTATCATGTGTCTAAGGGGAGCATCATTTGTTGTGTCATCCCAGCCGGAAGTAACAGCAGTCACCCTACGTTTAATAAATGCAGTTGCAATGCGGATCCACCCGCCCACGGGAAAATGCCCCACCAGCTTTCCACATAACGAAAACACGCTGCGTCGGGTCATGTGCTTGGGAATGTCCGGGAGCTCGCTTCCACGTTTCCAGTAAAGCATGTTGTGCTCCCCCCAGACCTGCAAGCCGAGCACCCGAGCACCATCCTCCAGTCGTTTTGGGTTTTTACATTCGAGCCCAAAGTCAGCAAGATGCTTTCTCACCTGTGAAGCGGGTACTAAGGTTTCGTTGATGTAGATGTCGTCAATGTAGGCTGACGTCGCTTGACGAATTGTCTCATTCTGGGATAGCACAGCATCCACGATGGCTTTCATGATGGCCGGCGCCACATTGAGTCCGAATCCCATTCGGGTTAAGCAGTACCTCGTCTCATTAAGGATCACCGTCTGAAATGGCCACAGTGACCGGTGCACGCGTACCTGCAAGTAGGCCTTTTGAAGGTCAATCACAGAGACATTGGATCCCTTCCTTCGCCATTCTCTCAATTTTGTGCACACACATCAGCATGAGCCGTGTATGTGTCTACATGTTTGCTCAGTTCTCTATAATCTAGTACAGGGCGCACCTTTCCCTTGTTCTTTTGTACCACGGCCATCAACGGGATGAGGCCTCTTGAGGACCAAGCTCTTCCTCGGGATACGGAGTCAGCCATCCGTTATCCAGCCACACCTGCAATTCGCGCTGGTATTCTTCCTTGACGCGTTCGGGCACCGAATATTCTGACACTCGGTTCTGGAGCTTTTCTGGTGGGTTATTTTCCGACCATTTCAAAATGCTGTCCATGTCTTCGTCCTTTGGTCGAACTCTGCGCTAAAGTCGGGCTCGTTGATCTTCAAAGTAGCACAGATGGGCGGATCAGAAAACTTGACTTCGCCTGCCTCTGTAATGCGTACGCCGCCCAGCTCCTTAATAATGTCCATCCCAAGGAGCAGATCGAAACCTAATAACGCGCTGTCCACGACCAACACACTGACTGTGACAGGGTCACCGTTGTTAATACTGAGTTTGATGTTTCCAACTCCCCGGCTTCTGAGAGCCTTTCCATCAGCCGTTAGTACGTCCATCTTTTGTCTGCTCCACTGGCGGCAAATCGAACCGTTGGTGAGTGACCGAGAGTAGCCCGAATCTATTAAAGCGATACGCGTTATTCCATTGATGCGTACCTTAATCACAGGGAGCGCCACTTTCATGCTCGGTGCGAGGAAGAGACCGGCGCTGACGTCGCGTCCCCCATTCCATTTCCCGGGCACTTAGAGGCAATATGACCTACTTTATGACATTGAAAGCATCGTAGATCGAGACGTGCCTTTCGCGCCGACCCGCTGCGCATTTCTTCGCGTTGATAGCGGCAACCTCTGGCAAAATGATTCGGACCAGAGCACCGAGAGCAGGTGGCAACGCCATGGTGACGAATGGCTGGGGTCGGACCTTCTTTGACTTCAATTAGTTGAATAATTGCGGCCACTGGTTCATCAGCCTCTTTTTCGTCGATCATGACAGCACGGGCTCTGCTCAACAATTGATTGAGCGTCAGGTCTTCCATTCTGGATGATGCGCGGAGTATCTGCTTAACATGACTGGGCAATCCAGAAACGAAGGCACACGTCATCCATTCTTCAGGAAGCGGTGCGATTGGAACGGCGAGCTTCTTTAATTCTGCCAAATATACGTCTACTGTCTCGCCAGGTCGCAGACGCCGTGCCTGGAATTGGTCGTAGGCCACGAACCGGTCAGTTCCAAACGCGGTTAGTAGAGCGTGCTTTATTTGCTCAATGTCACTTTTCTGTTCTTTACTCAGCTGCCTATACACAGCAAAGGGCACCGCCATTCAATCGCAGAGGAAGAATCCGATCAATCTTCGATATCTCGCATAATTCGCAGACCAGTTCCACCTTTTCGATCCATTCAACCACAGACTGTCCACTAGTATCACCACTGAATTCGGGGATCAGTTTTATATCGAACGGTCTTTCCGCCATCTTGCGAGAGACAAAGTAAACGCCGAAATAGCTTGAAGAGTAAGCGTTCTCAAAGCAAATTTGTGGCTTTCACAACACAAAGAAAGAAAATCACTTGTAACTCACGAACGCCGTAGCCAAAAAACTGTTATTTTATTTTTTTTAATTTTTTTGTGACAGAGAATACACGCGACGCGCTGTCGATTGGGTTGACGAGGTAAGTCGCTATAAGAGTTTTGCTGACTACTTTTTGGCTATCCCTCCCCGGCAGATCGCACACAAAACACGAACTTTTTTCCGGGGTATTTGATTATCTCGTTCACTACAACAATATTAGTTTGTAAGCCATCGCTTTACGGTATATTTGTTCATTTTAATCATGGTATACTCAGCATGAATGATATTCAATTGGCTTCGCTTACTTTGGCACACAGCTACAAAAGTGAGGCCCCCCACTGAGGAACGAACTTACGCCAATGGCATGTGGTTTATGAGGCAAACAAATAACATTAAGGCAGACACCCAACTTTCATGTGTAGAAACTTGAAACGCCGCAAGAATAACGTTTATTGCTGAAAATACATTACCGTTTTTTTTAATGAAAAAAGATCATAACAAAATACCTGGAAAGTGTCTTGCATTGGTTCAAGTTGAATTCTTTTACGCTTCCAGGAATTTCCATAATCTCCTGTCAACGTCATCAATGGTGCCAAGTTGGTTAATAATTGTTTTTTGGAAATGGCATAGATCTGAAGGGATCCCGTCTCTGAAAAAGAAATGAGAAAATATTTAGACAAATTAAAACGAAATTAAATTCCTATGTCTTAAATAAATCAGACGATCAAGTATCGGGTTCTGCTTCCCGTGGAGCTGGAATTATTAATATCTCATTAAATAACCAATTATTTTGCTTTCAATATGTAGCGAAAACATTTACAATAATGGTTACTGAAATAATAGTAAAAGCAATAGTAATGAATTTACTAAGCATTTCTAAATTTTCAACGTATTTCTGTAAATTTTGTTACAAGTTATTATTTTACGATAATTTGAATTTGGTGTCTTTTTTTTTAAATTGCTTTTGAAATATTTCTATAAAATTATTCATTTTTAGGATAGGTAATGGATGCTGAATTTAAGGAAAGACAATCAAATTGATTTTTTTAAATTATTTGAAATTCTACAATAAGTTAATATCTGTAATTAATAATCATTTGGAATTTATTTCCTTAAGCGAAAAGTCTTAAATTAATTTTTAAGTTATTTTCATGATTATATCTAGTTATTTTTCACTTGGCACTAATAAAATTTTATAGCATTCACTTCCTTCACAATGTAAATTTTTTTTTTTTGCCTTTTGTTAGAGAAGGACACCACATGTGGAACCAAAACTCGAAGCAGACGGCTTGCATTTTGAAGTTGTATAAAGGGGAGAGCAATCTTGCCTGATCGCCGGGTCGACGTGGAGCGGAAGCTTCAGTGTAAATATAATGACCTGAAAAAGAAAGACAAGAAAGAAAAAAACAAATAAGAGCTCGAATTTCTACGTCGATATTATCAGAAAAGGTTTACGATGAAATAAATAAAATAATAATCCGTTTATTTCTTTTGCATTTAAAATCTTGATATTTGTATTTTTTAATATTATTTCTTCATCCACGGATCCCAGAAAATCTGAAATTTTTAAGTGGTAAAATAAATGACAGGAAAAAAGTCATTTTAATTAGAAGGCAATTAAAATATAAACCCTGTCCTTAAATCTATGGTTGACAGAATGCGAAAAAGCTCAAAATACGAACTACGAATTGAACATTTTAAAAAATCAAGTAAGTAAGAATATTTAAATGTCGAGGAAGTATTTTAACAGGAGATGAAAAACTTGACAATGAAATATGAAGGCGTATTGGAATAGCAAAAGTTGTATTTCAAATGTTAAGCAAAGTACTAAGAAACAGGAAAATTTCATTAGAAACACAGGGTGATGACTACTATATAGTATCAATATTATTTCATTAGAAACACAGGGTGATGACTATGTTATAGACAAGCGTATGGTTGCAAGAAAGAAATACGACAACAGTAGAAATAGATTTACGTGGTTTATTTCAACAGGAACGTGTGGGTTTGGGACAGCTACCTTGTGGTAAAGTTCATAAGCCGGCTTTCGGATCTGGTCGATCTCTCATAGTAGTTCACACATGTTGACGGTGGTTGACGCTCCCCTGCTGTCAGCAGCTGGACGTGACAGGTCTCTATCCTGGGCACCTGTGGACTGACTGTTGAACTTCCGTGTGACCCCTTTTATAGCATTTTTTTTATGGCTTAACAGGCTCGAGAAACGAAGAGAGTATAATTAGGAGGGAAGCATTTTTATTGGACGAAAAATAGAGAACTTTAAATATTATTTTATTTTTCGACCGGAACACGTGTGTCGGGAACATTTGTAAAGAAAGATCATGGTCATTTTGTGACGGGGCTTTGTCCCGTTCACATCCGGTTCTCGCTCTTGAGTATTTGCCTGTAAATCAGCCGAGATATGTCTTATTTTATTTTATAACAAGGTTCCCCCAGATCTCGGTCTCATTTACAGTGAGCGTTATTCGTGTATATTTGGGTGATTAATTCATGATAAAGTCTCTGAAGCGTGTGGGAAGTTGTCCTCGTGTTCTTCTTATTGGCATCTGTTTTGGTATGGGGTTATTTGCTGAGTTATGTGTCACCGACGGATGTAGAGGAGAAAGATCCTGGTGACTGTTACATGGTGGAGTCAGAGGGATTGTATTAGAAAGATGTGTTGGGCGTGGAGCCAGTCGTCGGATATGTGCACGGTGAATCCAGATTGTATCACCATCATCGTTTTGCACCTGACACATCATATTGTTCGTTTTTATAATTGTGTAATTTCCTATCCAGGGCAGATGAGAGGATTGGGCTACAGTTGAGTGTGGCCGATGAAGTAAAACCTTGTCGCCTACTTGTATTGGGTCCTTGTATGTGAGGCGATTTAAGTTAGTCTCAAGTTTGTGGTCGGCTTCATCGTTGGCCAGGGTGACGTGGTGGTGAACCTGCTTTAGCAGGGCATTAATTTGCATTCCATATGCTTCAGGATCGTCGCTTGTAATTTCTTTTCTGTGTAGTGTAGGTAGGCCGATGTTGGGGTGACGGCCGGTAATGGCATAGTGCGGGGAGACACCGGTGGCGCTGTTGGTCGTGGCATTCATGGACGAAACGACAGATTCTAGAACGTCTGTCCATTCACAGTTCCTGTTCGCATAACATATAAAGTGCGTTCTTCATCGTGCGATGTTGTCTCTCGATATTTCCTGAGCTTTGCGGGCGCCAAGGACAGTGAAGTTCTTGCGTGATTGACATCTGGTTACAGAATTGTCGATAGATTTCTCCAGTGAAGTGTGTGCCTCGATCAGAGGATACTATGCGTGGAATCTCTCTGTGTCGAAGGAAGAAATGATACAATCCACGGGCGGCGGCGATAGAACGGTCTCTTGCGCATGGTATGGCTGTAAAATGTCGGCTGAAGCTATCCAAGATGGTTAGGATGTAGCGTTTTCTCTTTGAGTTGGGCATTGTGACAAAGTCTGTAAAGACGAGATCGAATGGTCTCTTTCCTCGTTTGCAGTGGCCAATGGGGCAGTGGGTACGTCTACCGTAGTTGCCCTTGCACTTAGCACACGTGTCGCAAGAATCGACATAGGCCTTGATGTCGCGGTTTTTGAATTCCCACCAGTAGCTGGAAAGGAGTTCTCGCATACGGGTGACACCTGAGTGGTTGTTGCCCTCGTATGCCTGGTAGAGGTATCTGGGTCGTAGTTTGTATGGTACAACCAATCTTGGAGAGTGTTTACTGTCTCTTATCATCAAAACGGAAGTGCCTGGTTCTAGAAAAAATCGGTGGAAATGTTTTTTGAAAAGCGTAGCTCGGTGGTCGTCAGGATCGATATGAGGTTCGCTTGGGGTGGGTGGCTGGAGGGCGCTGATGATCTTTGCCAGGGCGTCGTCCTTCAGTTGTTCATCTGCGATGCCGAGGTGGTTGCAGATTCTCTCAGTGGGGATGGTGGTGGTGGAGTGATAGGCGAAGAATGCGTTGATGGCGCGCTTGTGGGTGCGGGCGTTTTGTGGTGTGTGAGTTTTGGGAATGAGCTGTAAACCGTTAAACTCGCCGAGGCACCAAGATGGGATGTATACGCGGAGGTCTGAACAACTTACCTCGAATGTCCTGCCTGCCGGTGTAGGGTCGTTCGGGGCTTTCGTTTTCTTATGTCCGCAGCCTCTGCTGAGCATGTCAGCCCATACATTTGATTCGCCTTCAACATATTCCAAGACGAATTTATAACATGAAATTTCTTCTTGCCATCGTCGTATTTTTGGCATTATTGAACTCGTTGGTCCAGATATGTCAGCGATCTGTGGTCGGTGAAGATGACGAAGGGCGGTTGCGAAGAAAATAATCAAATTTCAATATTGCCCACTTTATTGCATATGCCTCTCGTTCTGTCGTGGACCAGTTCTGTTCTGTGGAGTTGAATGTATGGGAAGCGACCGCTATCGTTGTCGGCTTCTTGCATTAAGATTGCTCCACATGCGACGTAACTGGCGCCGGTGTTGAGTGTGAAAAGTTTGGAGAAATCTGGAAACGAGATGACGGGTGGCGAAGAGAGACGGTCCTTGATTTTTTGAAGGCTCTGTCGGCATTTTGTATCCAGACAAACGGTTTATTAACCTTGTTGAGTTCGTGTATGGGACCCATAAGTTTTGAAAACATATCTGACCTGATTTTGTTCGTGAAGACGTGTCTCTAGGAATTGTCTGATCCACACTAAACGGCCGATAAGGCTTTGTAATTCCTTTTTTGATGTTGGGGGGTTTCATTTCCTGGATGGCACGAACGTATTCTGGATCAGCCTTGAATCCTTCGCTGTTTACTATGCGTCCGAGGAATTTTGCCTCTGATGCGAGGAAGGAACATTTATCGGGATTCAGCTTGAGTCTGAATTTTCGGAGGGCAGTAAAAAATTGTTCGAGGGAAAGTATGTACTCCCTAAATGTCCTAGCGTGGACCAGGTTGTCGTCGATTCGCGGAGGTCTGAACAACATCCCGTGACAACATTTCTTCCTATGAAGAAATGTTGTCACGGGATGTGACCGTGGCTAGGGCTTCTGCTATGCAACGGGAGAAGATTTGTCCGGCAGATGTAAGGCCGAAGGCCAGGCGCGTGTATTGATAGCATTGGTCCTTCCATGTAAATGCCGTTTTGTATCGGTCTCGCTTGTCGATCTCAATTTGCCAGTAGCCACTGCGTAGATCAAGGGTAGTGAAATATCTATTGCCTTTGCCGATTTTGTTGAACAAGTGGTCGATCCTTGGCATTGGGTAAGGGTCAAGATCGACCAAGACCTTGTTGAGAGTTCTTTTAAAGTTAGCAACGACACGAATCGATCCGTTTTTAAGCGTACGGCAAATACAGGGCTATTGAAGCCTTTGGGGTCGCTGCAGTTTTCAATGATACCTTCATAAGCCATACGCTTAATTTCGGTATCTACGTCTGCTTCCAAAGCCTGGGCTATCGGGTGTTGTTTTCTGGCTGCGAGACTGGGTGTTGGTTGGTATGCGGATGGGTCGGATGAATGTGCCTTTGCTGCTGCTTTCGGTGCCGATAATGTCAGCGTAGCGAATGAGTAAGTTTGCAGTGGCCTCTAGTTCGTCTCGGTTCGGGTGGTTTGGTAGCGATAGTCCCGCGTTATGTTTTAGCCAGGTTAGCTTTTGATCCAGTGTCTGGGTGTTGGTCTGTAGTTCAATAGTAGGCTGGTTTTGGATGATGTCAGCTTGGGCGCCATATGCTGGATCGTTGGTTGACGATGACGGTGATATGATTGCGGCTGTGTGTGTTGTATATCCTGAGGAAAGTGTGCGTCTGAATTCTATAGTTGCATTTTGGTTGTCGATTAGATAGGAATCGAGTGTGTTGTGACGTAGGATATTTTGGCCGATCAGGATTGGTGTGGTTTGGATAGTTACCAGCACGTTAACCTTTTTGAATGTGGGTGAGTCTCGACTGCCGATGGTGATGTCGCAAGTCAGTTCGCCGAGGGCGGTGGTGCTGCCGTTGATTCCTTTTACTACGATGTCGGAGCGGGTCATGAGTTTCTCTCTTCTTCTCTGGGTAACTGAGATATTGGTACGATGCAGGTGGAGCATCCAGAGTCTAGCATTGCGACGCCAGAGAAGGTGATGTCTCTGAAGTTGAAGGTGGACTGGACGAGCGGTGAATGGTGAGCGAGTCCTTGAAAGTTGAAGGTGTGATGGCTGACGTAGGGGCATGGCGAACGAGGCATCACATCTCGTCCTGCCCGAAGCGAAAATCCTGTTCCACATCATTTATGGCTTGTATATTGTCATTCGTTGCGGCGATATGGGCCTGTGCCCGAGTGCGAGGTGGGTGGCGATATACACAGTTGCGTCCATGGTGGCAGGGGCGACCTCTGAGGTAGTTCTTGCACACGCTGATTTGTGGTGTATGCTGATGGTTTCTGCGTGTCGGATGGTGGCCATGTTCGGGAGGGTTGGTGAGGCCCGTCTGCTGTGGGTTTGGTTGCCTGCTGGGTCGGAGTGGCGCGTTTCTTTGGTTTGACCGCTGTGGTTTCTGTGTGAAATACAGTGTCGTGCGAAGTTGTGTCGTTGGATTTTACACCGCGATCAATGTATATTTGAGCTTCGGAGGTTATGCCAATGGCTGAATAGTGGTTGTCCATTGTCTTGACGAGATGTGGGTAGAGATTTGAGTTCCAAATTTTCACCTTTTCGCTCATTAGCATAGCGCCGATGATGGAAATAAGTCCATCGACTGTTAAGTCTGTATTTTTGTCTTTTTTGTATTTGTTTTTTATGTGGACGGCTGCCTTTCTAAGGGTGTTTTCGAGTCGACCCGCGAAGTCTGTTAATTTTTCGCCGTCTCGCCGTTCCAGGTCCCAGGCTTGACTGAGGTGTTGGAAGTTAGTCATCTGGCTTCCGTGGGCTCTTAATAAGTATTCCTTCAGTTGTTCGAAGTCCTTCAGTTGTCCTTTTTTGAGTCAACCATTTGCTGAAAGATACTTTGATCCAGTAAATCTTTAGCAGACTTGACGAATTCGCATTCCAGGCTGGGATATGTGCTGAGTTCTGGCGTGACATGGATTGTGCATGCTTTGTTTAGAGCCGTGATGAATCGGTTCACGTCGTGTCCAGGGTGAAAAGTTTTCTCTAGATTCAATATGTCGCGTATAGTTTGTTGGCTGTAATCGCCATTTGTTTGAGCGGTGGGAGGTGTTGAAGTAGTTTTTAGGGCAGTCAGCATGTCGTTTATGAAGGCTTGAATTTCCTGTATCGTGGCTTCGGAAGGCTGTGTTGGTCCCGTTTTCAAGTTGAATAGTAGTGTTTTCTGTTCCTTGATGAGAGTAAATAGTTCAGCTCGGGTGAAGCTCGTGTAGTCGGCCATATTTCTCTTGCTGTACGCTTCTGACACCAGTGTTATTGACAAGCGTATGGTTGCAAGAAAGAAATACGACAACAGTAGAAATAGATTTACGTGGTTTATTTCAACAGGAACGTGTGGGTTTGGGACAGCTACCTTGTGGTAAAGTTCATAAGCCGGCTTTCGGATCTGGTCGATCTCTCATAGGAGTTCACACATGTTGACGGTGGTTGACGCTCCCCTGCTGTCAGCAGCTGGACGTGACAGGTCTCTATCCTGTGGACTGACTGTTGAACTTCCGTGTGACCCCTTTTATAGCATTTTTTTTTATGGCTTAACAGGCTCGAGAAACGAAGCGAGTATAATTAGGAGGGAAGCATTTTTATTGGACGAAAAATAGAAAACTTTAAATATTATTTTATTTTTCGACCGGAACACGTGTGTCGGAAACATTTGTAAAGAAAGATAATGGTCATTTTGTGACGGGGCTTTGTCCCGTTCACATCCGGTTCTCGCTCTTGAGTATTTGTCTGTAAATCAGCCGAGATATGTCTTATTTTATTTTATAACAACTACTATATAGTATCAATATTATTTCATTAGAAACACAGAGTGATGACTACTATATAGTATCAATCTTCCTGGTACAGTAGTACTGATCCTAGTTTGATTATAAGCAGTGGCAAACAAAATTTACAACATGTAAATAACTAGTCACTAGTGTTAATAAATGTGAAAGGAAATGCAATAAATTTCGACAAAGCGATATTTTCACGTGTTTTTATATAAGAATAACAATGGAGAGAACATACACTAGCGTTCACTTAAAGGAGATATATTAAAATTTAAGAATTATGAATTGTGTCTTTTGTGTAAGTTCAGTTATTAAAGAGGAAGATATCCTTATACCAGGGACAAGGGCCCTGTTGGTGTCACTTCTACAGCATGCTAGAAATAAAAGAGAGGAAAGACAAGAAGTGTCCTGTTTTTATATCTACTTAACGACCTTTTGACAAAGATAATGTGTGTGTGTGGGGGGGGGGTAACCCACACTCCTATATGGCAATGAATACTGGACAATTTTCTAACAGATGAAGTGGAGGCATCAGAAATGTGGTTAGAAATGTGGTCAGAAGAATGCTGAGAATGTCATGAACGGAGCAAAAAGAAAATGGAAACAAAAAGAACATATTCTTACAATCAGAAAGAAACAGTTGAAATTTCTGGAACACATAACGAGAAAGGAGGGCTTCGAGAATTTGACACTCCTGGGTAAAAAGGAATGGGTTTACCTACCTAAGAAGTTTGTATCAATGAGTATGATGGAACGGGGGAGGGGAAGGATGACAAAAAACAAACATATCTAAGAGCTATAAGAGATAGGAAGTTGTTGATAAAGATGTTTCTGAAGGGACACGGCACATAGAAGAAGAATTCTCTGCATCAGAATTATAAGATATACCAAAATCTCCCGACCACAAACAAACAAAATTCAAAATGCAAATATTTTAGTTTTTTTTTATTTACCTTCACTTACGTTTCCATATGTATGGTCATTCGATGGTCCAGTGTATCTGGTCGAAGTTTTTTTCGAATGTATTTTCCAATCAAAATCGTCACCCAAGTCCTGTGTCCAACCACAAATTCCATCTTCATAATCGCATGATTTTCTTACTGAATTTTCTGCTTAGAGAAAAACAACAATGAAATGGCCAACAACTTCAAAAAGCTGACTTACAGAAAATATAACTATTTAGAATATAGGCAACAAGTAGTTATTTAATTATTTGAACTTAAGATTTATACACAATAATATTATTAAAATGAAATGCTAAAATGTATTTCGTTTCGCATGAAACTTTCTCATGGCATTACTGCCTCTTGGTAATAGTGTTTGTGTGTGTGGGGGGGTGTCTGTGTCTGTGTCTGTATGTGTGTCAGCGTGTGTGTGTGTGTGTGTGTGTGTGTGTCTGTGTGTGTGTCTGTGTGTGTGCGTCTGTGTATGATTGCTTATGATCATTTTTTAATGTTTAGATACCATCTAATTTTGTTTTAGCTCTTTTTTCGTATGGCACAGATCATATTTCTTTACTATTACTTTACTATTACTCCACATATTTTATCACTTCGTTTTTTTCATACGACACAGATCGTATTTTTGTACCAGCCTCCACATTGTTTAACGACATTAAATCATTTAAATCTAATTTCTTTGTATTATTATTTTATTCATATATGAAAACATCTATTCTGTGTACTACTTCTCGTAGTAGTAGTAGTAGTAATGTTAATAATAACGTTATACACACTTTCTTGGCTTATTTTTTAACTATTTAAAAGTTCATATTTATGCACATTACAAAATTGTTATGATGCTAAAAATTACAAACAGAAATAATCTCTGAGTGAGACTTGAACCTGCGAGTCGAATTAATGGTCATCTGCAGCATTTGATTTACTCTAACTCCCTAAGCATTAGATTCAAGCAGTGAGGTTCAATACACTTTAATTGATGTTCATTAATTTCTCATTTATTGCATACACATTATATTCTATAAAAATTCAATACAATATTTTGTTCATTTCAGTAGTCCGCCATGTTTGAATATTAAGAGTCACAATTTATCAACCTTACTTTTACACACTGGAGGAGGTTTGTTCCATTCTCTTTTGTTGCAATAAACTCGATTGTCTTCATCTTCCATTACGTAATTGGCTTTACATTGAAAAGTAGCCAAAGATCCACGGTAAGTATAAGTCACATCGAGGACATTGTCATCATATTCCAAGAGTGGACAACCCGGGGCTGAAATTAAAGTATAAAATAATTATTTGTTAATTTCAGATAACAATGTTTATGTTATTTATAATTTATATTAATTAAAATACCAGATTAATATTTCGGAATAGATTTTACAACGTTTTTCAATAAAGTAACTAAATCTATATAAATAAATGCGAATGTCAGTGTATTAGTGTGTTTTTTTTTTCAACTTTACTTTTAGAGGCCGTAGCCCAACATATCATGCAATTTTGGAATCAGGCCGACTAATTTTGAATTCCTAAGTTTTTATTACTGCGATAGTTTTCGGCGATTTTTACGTGATTTTTTGGAACGAACTTTTTTGTACGATAACAATTTTTATAACCTTGAAATAAATTTGGGAATAATTGAAATTAATTGCGAAAGTTACACATGAAATAAAAATAATTGTTTTTACGGAAAGTAAGGACCTACATACATCAAATTGTCTTTAAATTATTTAAAGCAGAAAAATTATCGTTGAACTTTTAAAAAGTAAGCTTAAATATTAATGCAATACTTTAATGCAGCGATCAATTTTGAGTTCTTCTGTAGTTTATTGTTGCTTATCGCATACGGCAGAAGCATGCCTCGCATAAAGAAATCTTTGCCAAAAGAGGACCAGGTTGCAATCAAAAGAGCCAAGGCTGCAGCGAGGAAAGAAATTTACCGGTCAAATGAAAACCCAGATCAAACGGCAGCCAGAAGAGCTTCCAATGCTGAGAATATACAAAGACTTAGGGATTCTCAAACTTCTGAACAAGCCGAAGGCCTAATCAAGAGCCATGCGCAGAAGCTAGCTTAAATGCCGCCCGATAGGTCGTCTTTTAAGCTACATCCTTCAAGTTTCTCTATAGTTTAAGCTAGCTCTTTCAAGGTTCTCAATATCTTTTAAATTGATTCATATTTTCACCGCGTATGTTAATCTTGCTCTTCAGTCAATCAGCTATTCATTTGTTTTGCTAAAATATAAAAAAAACAGTAACCTATTTTGTTTAAACATTATCATTCTATCATTCATCTTTTAAATCTGTAGATTTCATGTGGAGAATAGAGTCACAACTAAAGTACGTCACAGGGTGCTGTGATTTTAATAGAATGTGGTTTTTGTTTCCGACATGCAGTTACTCGCCTTACTCCTAACCGGTTTTAAATTCAGAGTTGTTATTCTCCCAGGCAGACCGCCAACCAAGGCTAGAGAGTGCATTTTATCCTGCTATGGATTAAATCCATAGTTGGGCTTCATTCACTCTATCATTAAATATTATTATTATGATAATCACTTGGGTGAATGGAAGGAGGAATAGATATTTGCAGTACAGTAAAAGATTTAGTGAAAGTCAATGTTGTTTATATACAAAGGAATGTTAAAAAAAAGTTATCCGTCTGACCCAGTTCCCAAAGTCTGACCAAATATTCGAATTTATTTTAAATTTCCTTCTAAGTCAGGCTGAGAAATTTTTAACACTTCCTCATAGACTACTCGAAACATTTCTTAAATAGAAATTATAAAAATTTTAAATCGAAAAAGAACATGATTTACGCTGTTATCTGAAATGCAAGAATTACATTAGAAGGATTTTAAAGAGCTCAAGATAAAATTTAAATGAATTATCATTATTTATTAAACTTGCAGTAATATTTAAAATTTAATAATCAAAACTGCAATATGCCGGAAAAAACACCAAAGTAATAAAATCTAGAATAAGATTTAAAGTTATGAGAAAACAGATCATGGAGCAATTTCAGACATTTTTCAATCAACCAATTCTGGTTTGCATAAATTCTAAAATGTTCTAGAAATCGAAAAGAGAAAACGAAATACAGGTGTATTTTGATCTCTAGCTGCTTCGCTTGTCTCTTTGGGTATGGGGAGTTATATATACTTCTTTCGTTTAATAATTACTCCATTTGAATTTAGAATTGTTGAATTTTTTTCTGAAAATACTTATAATTATTTAAAAATGAATGATGAATATACATCACTTGATAATACAGTGCCACAATGAAAGCATCAGTGAATGTCTGAAATATAGAAATACAAGCACAATTTCACCTCGGAGGTATTGACGCTTCAGCAATAAATATTTCTCAGTTATTGCAACCGTGATTGCTGAAGTTGTTGAAAAATATTTTTTCAGAGTTAGATTCGAAAAAAAGAAGACAAGAAAACGATTAATTTAAACAAGTTATTCTGTCATCTTACGAAGAGAGAAATCCTGAAATGATGGACAGATTTATGAAGGCAACAACATTTACAGGATATACATCTGTTTATTTACAAGAAATGTTATCAGTAACATATCGTATCAGCATCAGAGAACAAATAATCCAATATATATTTCTGCAAGAATGGCCTTTATCTAGCGCATCTGTCACAAAAGGACATGAGCCCTTACTCATTTAATCAAACTAGCAGATGAGCTAATGAAATGAAATTCCAGTCTTCACTGTAAAGTAAGAAGAAATATCATTGCAATCAAATAAGGATCACCTTCCATAAAATAAGTGATAAATGATGTAAGTTCTTATTTTTGTGATGTGCAGCTGGGATAAAAAAAAAGTTCAATTAAATCTGAATATGGATTGGAGTAAATTGAAAAAAAGGAGAAGAAAAAAAAGGATATTACAATAAATGAAGTCGGCTGATGGCTACAGCGAGGTTTGAACCAGTGGGTAACTTAATAAGACATATTAAACAGTTCACAACTAAGTAAATCTCCAACTTCACCCACTTCATTTGCTGGTGACATGACTGACATGATGAATAGAACTTGGATAGAATAGAACTTTGTTACAAGAAATTATCAGAGGGTCAGACATCGTGTGTACAGAAATACTAGCAAACTAAAGATCCTTACTTCCTTACTAAAATTAAACTAAAATTAAATTTTAGAAGCGAAACTCTTGCCTTTAAATAGGCATCTATTTCTTGAATAATGAACAAATAGTGAATAATTCAATTAATCATAGCCTAATAATTGGTGTTAGGTGGGCAGAGGATGACATCTGATGTCGTAACCATCATTTCAACCACACTGTCACACTCAAAACTATAGTAAAAATACACAGCACCCACAAGAAAAACAAAATACCTTAGACTGTATTGTAAAGAACAAAATCCCAAAGATGTAGAGTTTAGATTTTTTACGCCGACAAGGCAAGAACGTGTAAACCTTGGTGCATACGCTCCCGAAAACCAATTAATCTGCAAACGTTAACCAGTTTTCGACCATCAACACCTATATCCAGTAATGTGGAAAACTAAGCCGACTGCATTAGCTCTAGCTGACCAGCCATTTCTGGATAAATAGCATCTGGGAGCCTCTGATTAAGAAAGGAAAACTTTAGGATTAATGCTCCAGAATTACAACACTGGATTATCGAAAAGACACGTGATATTGCGACTAAAACATATCGGGCTCCCTGGAAGTCATGATTTCAACCACTGCAGAACATTTATATACTCGGGTTCACAAGAAACACAAAAACAAGCGACTAGAGAGGTTTAACTGATACGAGATATCCCTTAGTTTTGGAATATGAAATGAGAACACTCTACCTACACCTACGACCAACAATTTGAAATCAAAGTCATAATAAGGATAGCTAATTTACAGATAATTTCGGGAAATTACAGTCACCATGGGATACCTGAATGCCAAAATAGGGAAGGAGAGGGATGGCTAAATAGTTGGCAAATTCAAACTAGGTACTCGCAATGAACACTGAAAAAATGGGCCCAAAAGTGCTCAGCAAACAAATACCTGGTTTCAAGAACACCCAAGACGTATCTGAAGATGGAAAAGTCCAGGAGGAGAAACGAATAACTAAATTGACTGTATAACGATCAATATAACGAGATTCAAGGGTGCAGTTTTACAAAGTAAAATATACCTAAGTGCCGATTGCTTGAGCGAACATCTAGTGAAACTACAGAAATTGAAGCGGATCAAGCTCTCCTGAATGATCCAAATTTGAAGATAAAGTATACGGAGAGCGTTAAAAGCAAATGCAATTAATTAAATGAGAATGGAAATTGGAATTAGGACACATTAAAAATAGCTTTAGCATCATCAGCAAACAATGCTATGGTATGGCACAATTCTGAACAAATTCAGGCAGACAAAAAAGAAATGGCTAAATGAAAAGTACGCAGAAATGCAAAAAAAAGCGTATTACTGTAACACTTCAATCCGATGCTGGTTCACAACAAACGGCCACCGATGTAACCTTTCGTCACGATCAGCCCGGGGTGGATCCTGGTTTGATCAATGGAGTGATCTCTTCGATCCTGACCTGCCTTACCCCACGTTGTGATTGTTTTGATTATAAGAAGACCAACATCGATCCGTCGCAGGTATCTTCGTGTTGGGCTTGTCCAAGTTGTGCGAAGTTGTGCAATAAAATTAGAAAAAAAAACAGCACTCGAAATATATATAAAAAATAATTACTATTTTTATAGCAATTCTGCGTGCAAGGGTTCGTTAGTAGTTGTGTTCGTATACAGTTTTTTGTCGACCCAACCCGTTCGTAAATTGGACACAACACTGGGGTAAGCTGGTAAGTTTTTGGCTTGCAGAGTTAGCGAAATTTGTTGTACTGTTTTGGTAAGTTTGGCTCAAGGCTGAAGTTGGAGGTTCTTGTGTTTGGCAGGAAGTGTGGAATCTCTCAGCTTCCCTTGTCAGCTTGCAACTCTTACACTGCATTGACTGCGTCTCATTCTAAACTGTCTGAATGGCTTTCGCGCATTCATTTTTATGGACTCCAACTAGAAACCGGCGCGGGGCAAGATGTTGACTGGGTTTCGGTGAATCCCCTGATTTCCAACAAAAGTCTATTATTTTTGGTCTTGAGAAATCAAATTTTTTAATAATTTTGAGAAATTCTCCTTCTCTCATGGGTGGGGGTGATTGCAAACATCGTTCCGCCCGGCTGCCTCCACCTTCTCTTAATACCACCTCTAACTATTGCTCCCCAGTGGGCGTGTGTAGCTCTTTCAA